GCATCATTTTTATCACAACCAGACAAGTCCAAGCCACTAAATAGAAACCCAGGAAGATAAAGTTTCCTGGAGAAATATTTTCATAACACTTTCTATTCTCTAATGCACTTGCAGCAGAATTAAATGATTCACAGAGGAAAACTCCATGTGAGAACAAACCTGTGATCAGGAATATCTGAAACAGGATGGAACCTGTTGCAAAAATACCACGGAGCAAAAGGTGACTGTCTGGCACGTATACATTCCAAACTCTAGGAAGGCCATAATCCAACCAGGCATTTCTAGAGACCTCTCAGCACTCCAGGAGTTTGACTTTTTACATGGGCAAGAGACAGGAAAAGCGGGGGGACGGTTTTAAGCTAAAAGAGGAGAAATTTAGATTGAATGTTGGGAACAAACCCTCTCCTGTGAGGGTGGGGAGGCCCTGGCACAGGGTGCCCAGAGAAGCTGTGGCTGCCCCATCCCTGGAAGTGTCCAAGGCCAGGTTGGACGGGGCTTGGAGCAACCTGGGCTAGTGGAAGGTGTCCCTGCCCATGGCAGGGGGTGGAACGAGATGAACTTTAAGGTCCTTTTTCCAACCCAAACCATTCTGGGCTTCTCTATGATCACTTATTCATTAATACTCAGCCCTTTTTTCATGATTTGTGTGCTGAGCACTTGCAGCTCAGCCCCTCACATTTTTGCACATTAGCTTTTCTTTTTCCTTTAAGATTTGCTTTGTATTCTACACATACATGTTCAGAGCACCGTGCCCAGACTGGGTGCATTTGCTGCCATGGTAATCACTGCTCCGAGCACTGCGGGCTCCATGTGGAGGCTCATTAACAGAGACAGTGATTTGGGAACTGCTGCTTTTTCCACTCAAGCACTACTACTATCAAGTGACTCGGTGAAAACACCCGGCCCATAAAAGGTGATGCTCCTGCATCCCATATTCCACCCAGCGCGGCTCCTTCAGACTCTCAGATGAGAGGCAGAATAAAATCAATCAGGGCAGGCCACTGAGTACACTTAGAGCTTTATTGCTGAGCCCTTCCTGACAAAAATTCAGCTGGAAAGCTCAGGTTATAGGCACTGAGGGTGGCTTAATGAGGGAGTGACTAACAGCAGAGGGAAAGAGCCTTGTAGTGAAACCGTGAATATGGACAGAACAAGAAGAATTATGTAAAGCCTCTTGAGGAGCAAGTAAGAACCATCAAGTGGCTACTTGACAACCAGGCTGGGCGGAGAACGGACTGAGAGCAGCCCTGAGGGGGAGGACTTGGGGGTGTTGCTGGATGAGAAGCTCAACATGCCCCAGCTGAGTGCGCCTGGACCCAGAAACCTCCCGTGCCCTGGGCTGATCCCACAGCAGGGGAGGGGGGGATTCTGCCCCTCTGCCCTGCTGAGGTGAGACCCCACCTGCAGAGCTGCCTCCAGCTCTGGGATCCCAATAGAAGAGGGATGTGGAGCTGTTGGAGCAAGTCCAGAGATACTCTGAGAGTGGAAGCCCCTCTGCTCTGGAGCCAGGCTGGGAGAGCTGAGGGTGTACTGGCCACGGAAGAGAAGGCTTCAGGGAGACCTTAGAGCCCCTTCCAGTGCCTAAAGGGACTCCAGGAGAGCTGAAGAGGGACTTGGACAAGGGATGGAGAGACAGGACAAGGGATTCCCACTGCCAGAGGGCAGGGTTAGATGGGATATTGGGAAGGAATTCTTCCCTGCGAGAGTGAGGAGGCCCTGGCCCAGGTTGCCCAGACAAGCTGTGGCTGCCCCATCCCTGGAAGTGTCCAAGGCCAGGTTGGACGGGGCTTGGAGCAACCTGGAATAGTGGAAGGTGGCCCTGGCCGTGGCAGGGGGTGGGACTGGATGAGCTTTAAGGTCCCTTTCAGCCCAAACCAGTCTGGGATTCTAAGCTGGGCAGCCACACAAATATAGCTGCTATTGAACCAGCAGCCCCCACACACCAACAAAGGGTTTAAGCTTTGATGCTCTCTTTTACAGCAAACAATATTGGATGACAAATCAAGAAGGAGTAGTTTATAAAAGAAGGGAAGGTATAGTGACAAAGAGTTGGGAAACAACTGAAAAGCTGCAACTGCAGTCTGTGCTGAAAATTGGGAATGTGCATTCTCCTTAGGTTTTCCCATCTGACTGATTATCCTATAAGGAAGCACAAGGGTTATAAAGTACCAGAATAAACAGATGGATGAGAGTAAACTCAAACTACGGGGTATTTCCTATGCAAAAAATAACTGGCCCAGCACAAATAAGAATAATAAAAAAAAAATCAGTTCTTGCCTTCCAATCCTGCCATTTATTTGCTTAATTGCTCACCACAGGTTTCATACCATCAGCTGCCTATTGCACCCTTGGAACTGACTATGGGAAGAATACTTTTCTGAGGAAGAGAAACCTCAAGCTAAAGCAGCATGGGGCAAAATGTAATGAAAAGGTCCCCACTGCCAAAAACCTGAAGCTTGTGCCAAACAATGGGACGATCTGAACTGATTTCAAAGGGGTTTGACTTTCCTCTTCTGAGCAACATCCTCATTAAAGCAACATTTTCCCTGGGGCATTCAACAGGATTTGCTGGGCTGTTTCTGTATGGTGACTACAACTCTGGGCTGTTCTGCTGTGACACAAGGAGTTAGGTATTTTACCTCGTGAAGGTTCCAGGGCAATGGGACAGTTCTGGCCTGGCACAGAGTCGGGGTCACACACCAACACCCTGCTCTCACCACAGTCTCCTGTGCAGGGATATTCCTTCTCTTATGATTTGTATGAGTTCACTGCAAAGTGCTCCCCCTCCTCAGTGGTGCATTTGGGGAGATTCCACCAATTAAAGGTGGAAAAACCCCAGGCAATATTATCCTAACTCCTAAGCAGGAGCATTCCAAGCAGCAGTGCAAGTGTAGAGGGAATGCCATAGGAAACTGCTTGGCAAATGACATTTAATGCAGCTGTTTGGCACCAACACCTCGATAAATCAAACCTCCTTTGCTCTGTCTGGTTCTCCAAGAGATTTTTCCCTGTCTGCACCATGTGTGAGGCTCCTGCCTGCTCATGTGTTCTCGCACCCCTGCTCAGCTGGGAACATTTAGAGCCCACAGCTCTCTGCTGGTATCAATCTTGACTGAATGGAAAGATAAAAGATTCCAAGATACCACATTCCTTCTCATTTTATAAAGGCTGGTGGGTCCCTGCAGCACAGACCTGTCACTGTGGGCATGGGGGAGTGAGTGGGGGAGAATAAACACGTGGGACAAATCCATAGAAAACCACACTCTGTTATTGCTCTTGCTCTTGGCAAAATTATGTTGTCTTGGAGAAAGAGTTAACATAGATCCCTGTTTTAGCCTGAAGTCAATCCTTCCCTAATTAGCCTTTTAAGGCATGGGCTATTTCCATAACCCAGATAGCACCAGGGCCGTTTCCTACACCGACTCTGAGTCAATGCTGCTGCAGTTCCCACCTGGTTTCTCCCCGTGGATGCTCTGGAGTCACAGCTGGCATTGCCATTACCACTGCAAGAATCACAAAGATTTCTGTGCTCATGTGCTGGCTTTCATCAAAACCCCACTGCCACAAGAAGCTCTACTCCATGCACTCCCACTCCCACCTGGACCTTTTTGTACCCACCTGAGAGCTGCCACCACCTTCTCCAACACCCACGAACCCCCAGGAGCCTGGGATCCCACCATGGCTGTGCACAGAGAAACCAGCACCTCCCGTCAGTCTGCTCTGGACACATGGCAGTCACAGCTCCTGGGAGATGTTTGTCACCCCTTCACATGCCCAGATTCATAAGGGGGGGGAAATGAGTTAGTCTGTGTTCACTGAACATGACTGATCTTAAAAGCTTGTGTTTTGAAAAAAATTAAACCATTTTCAGCACACTTGGAAAGTTCTCCACCTGTCACCAGGCTGGTGATCAACACTGTGGCTGTTTAGTGAGCAATGGTAAGCACAGTGGTGGTGAGGAAAGTCCATCCAAGCACACGGGATAGTTTTAGATTATCTAAATCCCCTCAGAGACACTCCAATGGTGTGCAGGTGGAAGAAAGCACAGATCCTGCTCCTGTGTTACAGAAAACAGCCCAGGACAACCAGCAGCCACAGAAGCCTCGAGGCTGAAGTTCCTGAGGTCAGGAACTGCTTTCATTAGTGCCATGGCAGGGGGTTAAAACCCTTTGTACATATTTCAGGCAATGCTTCTTCCAGACCAAGATCTGTCCCTGCCAACGGAGCAGACAATGCATATCTGATTTGAGCAAACACCAGTGCCGGGATTAATTTAATGCTCCCATCTAAAATTAGCCTGGCTGTTAAAAACTAATTCCTCCAGGCTTTGACTCCGGCATGATAATATTTCTTGATGGCAAAGAGGTTAACCATACAATGATATGGACCTGGAGGGTTTGGGACCACCTCTCCCATGACTCTGGAGCTATTATACTGTTAGGAAGTGTTCCCAACTTTCCACCACCTTGGGAGACAGGGACAGCAGCTCTGGTTTGTGGAGGAAAGGTAACTACCTTGACTTGCCTCCTACAGATGGCTTTATTCACTTTTTTGGTGTTGTTGAAATTACTAAACCACTGCACAGGCCAGCTCAGCCCCAGGGGCGAAAGCTGGACACAAACCTCGTTTCACCAGCGGTATCAAAGTGTTTATGGAAAAAGTGCAGCTTAACAAGCTGGTCAAGTTCTGCCTCATTTTCACTGGGGAGGGTTTTTATCCAGTAACAGCCGACCAGGAGAGCCATGTTCCAGGACAGGAGGAAACTACAACCCCAACAACTCCCTACACCACTAACACAGCTAATCCCAGGGCAGGGACTCTGGCAGATGCTTAAAACCTGTTGCTGCAGAGGCACCTTCCCAAGTTTCATTTCAACCATCCTCTTTCCAAAGGAAACCACAGCCGCAGGTCTCCAAGGGTAAGACAACAAACCACCACTGCCAGGCTCCACTTGGAGCATGTGCTGAGCTGAGTAATACAGAAAGGAAAAAGCTGCTTACTCTGAGTGTCTTCGCAATCGGGGAAGGAGAGGACGGGGGAGAGTCTGACTGAGCCTTCCTGCTCCGAGTGTATTCCTTACTCCTGGTGTACAGGGACGACATGGCCTCGCGGGCTGGGTGTCTTTGAGAAGCAACACCAGTTCTTGCTCTCCTGTCGCTCTACGGCGCTGGGCAGGTCCTTCTTCCAAGGTCAGAACAAACTAATTAAACTATTCACAGCTCTGGTAATTAAACCCTGCTGTTTAGGGTGTATAATTTTAGGCATTAATCTGCTGCAGGGAGAGCTGAGGCTCCACAATGTTTCTCGTCCGAGCAGAAGAAGAGAAGGTGTCAAGGACTCGCTGTGCTCCGGCGCCAGGTGCTGCTCCGTGCCAGCCTCACCGCCCGGACCCCGTCCCAACTTCTCCACAAAAGGACATTTCCCCTTGTCCAGAGCGTGCCACAGCACCAGGGGGATCTATCTCCCCCCAGAACTGCAGGAGGCAGAAACTCCCGGCTCAAGAAGAGAGCTGGAAAACCGGCTGGGTTTCTCTAGGCATGAAACTTCTGCCAAAAAAAAAAAGCAAAAAAAGGGAAAGGCAAAGCAAAGCCTGATTTACTCCCGAGTGCGGCCGCGAGCTCTGCCCTCGCTGCGCAGAGCTGCACGCCCTGAGTGAAACACAAAAGCATAAATCAGGAACAAACGCTGGTTTGGAAAGGGGCAGTCCAGCTGAAGTTGGGTTTTGTTCCATCCTCCTCCTCCACCTCCTCCTCCTCCTCCCGGCGCCGTTACCCGCGCACAGGCTTCTCGTCCCTCCCGCCGCTGCCTTCTGACATTCCAGCTCCTGACTCGCTCCCGAGGAATGCTGGAGGGCAGCCAGAAGCAGCGATTCACTTTCAGCTTGGGATTTGGGCTGCCAAATTGGGTTTGGGATTGGGTTTGGGATTTGGGCAGGGAAAAAAAAAAAGAAAAAAGGAGATGGGGAGAAAAGAGAATCCCTCCCAAGCTCCCAAGGCCTGTTGGGCTGCAAGTGGGATGTCGAGGTAAAACTGACCGTTGCAAAGCCTGAATTCCAGGAGGTTGTGACAAAGGGAGATGATTTAAAGTCCATGGAGCAGCTCATGCCATGAAAGGGAGGACACACTCTGGCAGCACAAGAGGATTTTTGTTGTTTGCTCACAAGCCTGTTTGAGCTGTGACGGGGCGTCACAGAGCTTGTGTAACGTACACTGGTTCAAGGGAGTGTTCGGGATCAAGGAGGAGGGAGAGGAGCTTGGAGGAAAGGACAGAGGGTGTGGAGAGCACGTACCTCTCCCAAACTCTCAGCTCTCTGCCAAGCTCTGCTGCTGCACAAGCTCGCTGGAAAGTGGCAGGACTGCTCTATTCAAAGGCAAGTGCGTGTCCCTCATGTCCCAGTGAAATAAGCCCATGGGATGTTCATTTGAAAAATGCCCTCAAATCACCATGAGTGATTTAGTAGCTCACAGAATCATACAGAATCACACAAAACCACAGACTGTTTGGGGTTGGAAGAAACCTTGAGATCATCCACTCCAAAAATCCTGCCAAGGCAGGGTCACCTGGAGCAGGTGACACAGGAATGCATCCAACTCTTACACATGAAGTCCATCTTGGAGTCATAAGGTTGAAAATCTATGATTTTTGTTGCTGGAAAGGTATCACCCCAGTTATCTGCACTGGACCAGTTCCAGTAAGGCTCAGCTGGACTCATTCACACCCACTTGACCTGGCCACTGACTGAGTCACTGGCGGCCTGGGGTCATCCCATCCATGTCCTGATCCACCTCACAGGCTGCTTAACATCAAACAATTCCTCCCAAGGCCAGGTTGGATGGGGTCTGGAACACCCTGGTCCAGTGGAGGGTGTTCCTGCCCATGGCAGCGGGGTGGAGCAAGATGAGCTTTAAGGTCCTGTCCAACCCAAACCATTCTGCAAAGTGCAGAATAATATCTATATAAAAATATTTTAAGAGTATTACCCCACTCTCGTTGCTCTGAAGTATTGTCCCTTTCTGCACCCTGCTTGGCACCCTGGTGATTTCACTGGCACATAGCTGGGGAAGGGGCTTGGAATAGCAGCTGCAGTAATTTCTCCTGCCACCTAGCACCTTCACTCTCCAGGGGCAATGCAGCATTGCTGAGCAACCAGGGAGAGTGGGAGACAGGGCTACTGGATTGTCCTGCACTAAGAAAGTCACAGTGAGATCAGGTTTCTACTTGATATTCATCATGAGGAAGGAGGGGACTTGTCATCCACCGACTGCAGCAGGGGGGGGGAAAGGTTTGAAGAGGTCCAATTCTGCCTGGTAATACCTCTGCATTCCCATTTAAAGGTATGGAAATGAAGTCCACGCACACAAGAAGGCAGGGACAGGCACCCAGCTGCTCCAGGAGTCTGGGGCAGGACCTTGATCTTTCCAGCCTCCATCTGTTGCTCTCATCACCCACCTCTCCCCACGTGTGGAGCCCAACTCTGCTGTACAAGGCAATTCAGACATTTTAAATGCATATTTATAGACTCTGCACACAGGTGTGATCCTTTCACACCAGTTCTCAGTTTCTGGGGTTTCAAAACAGTGCAAGTGAAACTGGGCAAACCCGTGTGGCCAGCACTGCACTGGGGTGTCCTGGTCCCAGCTCCCAGGCTGCCAGAGCCCAGCTTAGTCACCAAGGTGGAGTTACACAGTGCAGAATTGCAGGGCTTGGCTTCCCCTCCCATCCAGTCCCAAACAATCTGTTGTCACATCCCTCCATGGTCATGCTTCTGCTGAGGAGTGGCCAGAAAGCTCCAAAATCAACATTTTGGTACAGAACTCACAGCCCAAAACCAAAACACAGCCTGAGCTATTCCCTACTAATTAAAAGTTAATTAGTCATCCAGTGCGGATCTCTCACAGATTGAGTGGACAGTAACTCATTCTAGAGAGAAGGGAAGGTCTGATTAGCCAGGAGTCAGAAAGCAGCATGGCAAAACACGATGGTTTTCATCATTATTCCAAGAGATGCCTGATTTAGGGGGCTATTCCTGCCGTTCTGTACAGTTGTCCCCTGTGCAAGATGAAACACGACGCTCCTTCGCTCCTGTTCCTCACAGCCCCAGCTTTGTCATGTTCAAGGCTGTGGTTTAGATCTGACTGTTCCTGTCTGTTCACAGATTCCTCAGTAGGAACCAGGCTGGTACCTGCTCTAGCTGTGGTGCCGTGTACTTTGCTGAGGGATATTTATACAGCCTCCAGAAAGACACGCAAAAAAATCACCTTCCATGAGCATTTTCACAAGCACAGCACACAAACCCTAAGACTGCCCAGACCTTCACTTCATGCTGTGGCCTATTTCTGGGCAAAACCACCTTAGAGTTTCTCCTCATCTTGGACTATGGCAGCACAACTATACTACAGTATAATGTCTTTCCTATATTTATATGAAATAGTTTATTCCTGTAGTTAGAGCTGTGGTCTTGGCTATGATCACTCTTCAGACACCCTCACCCAGAAGGTGGTCAGGTTCTTCCTTCGGAGGGTGGTTGAGCACTGACCAGGCTCCCCAGGGCAGTGGGCACAGCACCAAGGCTGCCAGAGCTCAAGGAGTGTTTGGACAATGCTCTCAGGGGCAGGGTGGGATTGTTGGGGTGTCCTGAGCAGGGCCAGGAGATGGACTCAATGGTCCTTGTGGGTCCTTTCCAACTCAGGAGATTCCATGATCTTTCCTTGTCTGTTCAGATGTCTGTCCTCTCCCTTTCTTCGGTGATGACACCTGTGTTTGTACCCCATTTTTAAAATTACTTAAGACAGGAGAACACATAACCAAGAAAATGACGTACCAGAAACAGAATGAAGCCCTAAGCTAAATATTTGAGAGGAACACACAAACACCCCTTTTATCTGTGCTGAAAATCTTCACCTACAGAACATGATGCTGGTAAAATAAATGTCAGCATCACTGTAACATTCCAACCTGCAGCAGACAAAACTGGGAAACAAAGGTGGGAAGTTGAAGCCAGAGCTGCAGTGATGCTCAGGGGTGATGTGAACCCACAGCACGTTCTCTGAGAGTGCAGAGGAGGAGAAGCCCTCTTGGGAGACCAGAATTCTAATAAAACTTGAAGAATGAGAGTAGTTGGTATTTTTGGAACAAATTATCCCAAAACTATATCTTTAATGTCCTAGCTGTCATTTTCCACACCAGGTTTAACACACTGCCTTGTACCTCACTGAATTACTTCCTATCCAGCTGACTTCTTTCATCCACAGCCAAACCTCCTCTATGTCCCAGCACAGCCATGTCCTGGAGAGTACGTTGGTGTCTCCAGCTACACAGGGCTCAGCTGGGGTAGGAGACACAAACTGGGCCCACACACAGCTCCAGGCCATTCTTCACACTGTGACCTTCCCTCAGGGCTTCCCACAGCCAGGGACCATCCCTGTTCCACCACACAACCCTGCAGACCACGAATCAGGGGGAAGGTGGCATCCAACGCTCCTCCAGGTACAACTGGGCACTCACAGGGACCAATCCCAAAAGGCAGCTTGGACACAGCTACCCCGATCTGGAGCGTGAGAGGATCCAGCCCCATGGATGATGCCTCAGTGCTGGGGAACAGTTTGAGTTGGGACCATGACACTCAGCCTTTGAGGGCAGGGATGGGGTCTCAGCAGTGCCACAGCCCTTGCTGAGACCCTCCCCTGTGCTGGGCCAAGTAATGCAAGAACACAGAGCTGCACTGCTACATGTGAATTCCAACCCAACTGGATGAGCAGCAAGAGGATGAGGCAAGACAGAGGTTCATGTTTTCCTTTGAACCTGTCACAGAATCACAGAATTGTTACGGTTTGAAAAGCCCTCTAAGGTCATCAAGTCTGACAGTTGAACACTTCCAGGGATGGTGACTCCACCACTGCCCTGGGCAGCCTGGGCCAGGGTTTGACCACCCTTTTGGGGAAGAAATTTTCCCAGTATCCAACCTAAACCTCTCGTGGTGCAACTTGGGGCTGTTTCCTCTCATCCTGTCCCTCGTTCCCTGGGAGCAAAGCCCAGCCCCCACTGGGCTCCACTCTCCTGTCAGGGAGCTGGAGAGAGTGAGAGGGTTCCCCCTGAGCCTCCTTTTCTCCAGGCTCCCCAGCCTATTGCTGAGGCCATTTTGCTCACTTTGAGAAGCAGAGAACCCCCCTAATTGCTTCCTGCAACCCCAGACACCTCAGGTACCTGGGGCTACCCCTTTCTACATAGTTCAGCTGTTTGCTATTCAGGTAAACAAATCTTCCCAACCCTCCCTTCTGGATTTCCCACCTGCACAGTTTGTCTGTTGAGTCATGTCCTCGTCCAGGAAAACACTGAAATCTGTAATTTTATGCAATACTTAAATCAACTCTAAAGCTGCATTTATTCTCATGACACTTCTCCAGAGAAACAGAGTGAAATAACCAGTGCTGTTGTTCACAAGAACCAGGCTACAAAGCCACTACGTGCCCAGAAAACAATTTTTCTGGGTATAAAGTAGTTCTGTAAAAAATTCAGAGAATTAGAGAATCCCAGATGATTTGGGTTGGAAGGGAACTTAAAGCTCATCTTGTTCCA